GCTGAGGCCATCCCATCTACACTGAACTCCCAGGATTGGTCTGAACGGCATCCATCCATTGATCTCACCCAGTTTCTGGAACACTAGCGGATGCTGCTCCCATTTTCCTCTGTCGGCGGGGGTGATTACTTTCCTGTGCTTCCTGGCTTGGAGAGACGCCATATGTCTCCTACAATGCCTACCGGGGGCGGACTGACCATTTGGAAACTCGGGCACTGCCTGAGGGCCCGGGGTCAGTACGGGGCCCCATGAGATGCCCCTGGTACCTTTTTCATAGGCTTTTTTGAGTTTGGGCAAGGACACAGGGGCCCCATGATCCCCTATTGCCCGGGGGCCCCATGAGTTGTCAGTCCGCCCCTGATTCCTACACATGTGTTTCATCTCTGCATGTTCTGCATTTTGCTGTTGGGCTGGAGTTGCGCTTTATATCTGCATTTTCCCCAGCTTAATCCTCTCCAATCTCTCCCATACATATGGTTCCGGGACTTTTAAGTCTCTGGTGCAAAATATGGGCGCGATTCAAATGAATTTTACACTCCAAATATTCAATCAGATAACGCCGGAGCTCGCATAATGAAGCCTTGTGAGATGCTTCTTTCAAAAACTAGAAAATACTTTTCAAAGCGCTACACGGACGCCAACGTGGTAAAGGATTACATTAGCAATCTGTGCAGACAACACCTGTTGGCTGAACGGCGGCTGATAAGAAATTCTCAGCGCTCAGCAAAATTAGGTATTTTCCAGAGCAAAAATATTTCACTGCTGACAAAGAGCTGAGACGCAAAAAAAAAAAAAAATGTAAAAAAAATAAAAATAGCGCGAGGGAAAAAAAAAAACATGCGTGAGATAGATTGCTTTTAAACGATTCACATGTGCTGGAAGCGGAGAGACGGCTCAGTTTTTAACAGCAAACAAAACAAGTTTCTTGTATCATAAAGAAGGTTTCTGCAAGATAAGCTGCACCAAAAACTATGACCGGATACATTGTGTCCATATTATCTCTACAGACTGCGCTGTCCTCCTATCAGCATTGTACGAAACACAACTGATAACATAACAAGGTAGCAAGATTGCGGTTTTGGTCGCATGCCAGAAAAATAGGCTTTGTGTCGATTTCTCAATATTCAATGTCCATATAGATACATTTTCATCTTACAGAATTTCGAAAAGTTGTTTGTGATGACGCATTCAAACTACCTTCAAGTGGCTGTAAACCCAGTGAAGGGACTAACCTTAGATGACACACAGAGATGAAACAAATCCTCCTACATAAGTTGTACCTGTTTATCTGCAGCTTCTCTCCTCCACATTGGTTCAAAGTCCAGATTTTACACAACATTTCTCCACTCCAGAAGCCAGAGGGCAGCAAACTGTTGCCACCCATTGTACAGCATAGAGCAGGGTGCTGAGTGATATAAGAGACTTGAGTGGAGGGAATGGAACCTCCCCCCCCGACACACACACACACACACACGCACACGCACACACGCACACGCACACACACACGCGCACACACACACCTGCACGTCACGCACGCAAGCGCACGCACACACACACACACACACACACACACACCACCTGGGGCTGTCAGCTGTGTTGGGGGATTGTATGGATCGACATAGACTGTCACAAGTGACCAGGGGTGGACTGACAACTCATGGGGCCCCGGGCAATAGGGGATCATGGAGCCCCTGTGTTCTCGCCCACACCCAAAAAAGCCTATGAAAAAGCCAATGAAAGGTACCATGGGCATCTCATGGGGCCCCCTACTGACCCCGGGCCCTCGGGCAGTGCCCAAGTCCTCGAATGGTCTGTCCACTCCTGCAAGTGACTCATGCAGATAGCAGAGGAATGAGGGAAGGAGAAAGAAATCACACTAGGTGCTCTGGAGCAAGGCAAGTAGACACTACAGAAGGACATGCATTGTTCATTTTTCATCTCAGAGGTTTACAACCACTTTAACCCCCCTGGCGGTATTCTCGAGTGTAGCTCGGGGTAAAGTTTCAGTACCAGAAGCGGTAACCCCGAGCTACACTCGGGAATACACTGCAGCGTTGCTCCGGGATCTCTCCAGCACTTACCTTGTCCTGCGCTCCCACGATGTCCCCCCTGCAGTGTCCCCGGCCATCTCCTCCGGCCGATGCCGGCATCTGTCTTTCGGGTTCCATTCCCTGCAAGCGTCGGGATGTACGGGGGACGGAACCGGGAAATTCAAAAATGTAAAAATTTGACATACACTAAAATCACATAGTATAACATTCATGTATCAAACCATTTCACATACATTTTGTCCCGAGTGCTTTGTCCGGCGCCCTGCCTGCATTTTTACTCTTCTTTCTGCCCGGAAACTGAGAAACGTCCATGGCGTCCAAAAAGCGTCGCTTTAGGTCAAAAGCGGTTTTAGACTGGCTAGAGAACAGCGATAGTAAATCAGAACCACTTGCAGAATTGAGTGATAATGATTCGTGGGGGAAATTCCTCATCAGACACTGAAAACGATTCTGCGACTGAGCTCAGCGATGTGCGAACTAGGGCAGCACGAAATCCTATATACACCCCTGTCTCCAATAGGAATGGTTGAATGGTAAGCTATGTTTAAAAGTATTTGTAAATAGTTGAGATGAAAATGAACAAAGCATATCCTTCTATCGTATGTGCTTGCCTCTATCCAAAGCACCTAGTATGATTTCTGCCTGATCTGTCTTTCTTCTGCTATCTACTGAGCAGGGGCAGACTGACAACTGAAGGGGCCCCCGGGAAAAAGGGGATCATGGGGCCCCTGTGTCCTTGCCCACACTCAAAAAAAGCCTATAAAAGGTACCAGGGGCATTTCATGAGGCCCCCTGCTGACCCTGGGCCCTCGGGCAGTGCCTGAATGCTTGAATGGTCAGTCCGCCCCTGCTACTGAGTAGGCTGACTTTTGAAAGTCTATGCCGACACCAGACAATCCAGGGCGACAGCCTTCCCCCCCCCCCGAACACACAGCAGGTGATTGACAGCCTCAGCTGTGCTGGTTTCCCTATGAGACTGTGCAGAAGGGGGTGTACCCATTCCCTTCACTTATGTCTAAGATTACGCTCAGTTGATTGATATGCGGTGCAGTGTGTGACATCAGATCTCCCACCCTCTGCCTTTTGAAGCTCAAAAAATGTGTAAATTGTGAACTTTGGAAGGATGGAGAGGAAAAAGGGCTGCAGATAAACAGATACAACTTACGTAGGAGGATTTCCTTCATCTCTGTGTATCAGTTACTTCACTGGGTATACGTAAGGGTTTACTTTACAACCACTTTAATTCCATATTTCTTTCCTTCCGGTGATTGATGTTTTCAGCTACGACCATTAATAACATCCAGCCATGGGAGGACTGACAACTCATGAAGCCCCCCTGTGCCCTTGCCCAAACTCAAAAAAGCCTATGAAAAAGGGTACCAGGGGCATCTCATGGGGCCCCCTACTGACCCCGGGCCCTCGGGCAGTGCCCGAGTTTCCAAATGGTCAGTCCGCCCTGAATCCAGCATACACTGAATGTTCATAGGTCAGTATGGAATTTGGCTTACTTGCACACATATAACATGTGTAAACATCCCGTGGCTAAATGGTTAGCACTTCCGCCTGGCAGTACTCGGGTCATTGGTTTCAACCCCAGCCACAGCATCACCTGCCTGGAATTTGCATGTTCTCCCTGTGCCTGCGTGGGTTTCCTCCCACACTCCAAAGACATGCTGGTAGGTTAATTGGATTCTGTCTAAATTGTCCCTAGTATGTGTATGTATGAATGTAAATTAGGGACCTTAGATTGTACGCCCCTTGAGGGTCAGGGACTGATGTGAATGTACAATATATATGTAAAGCACTGCAGAAATTGATGGCGCTATATAAGTACCTGAAATAAAATAAATCCTCTTCTACACTGGATGGTCTTCAAAGGGTTAGTCCTTCACTTAGCACCCAGCACATACCATGCTCATCCTTAGCGTACTCCGAGACTGCTTCAGTGTTTAATAATATCTTGCGGAGCCATTATTAAATATCGATCCCTCCAATCCGGAGTCTTCTGACTCCAGTCTGCAAGATTTTATTAAATTCCTGAGTAACAGGCTTCTATAATATGGCAGAGCAGAGGGCAAAGCCAAAGTGCAAGGAAATCATTGCAGCCAGAATTTCGTGCGCAGAAGTCTGATCAGTAAATTAGGAATTCTGAATGGCTGATTGGGGTTAACTTTGTGTTTTCACTGCACTGTGATCTCTGGGAAAGGTAATAAATACCTCGAAAGTGTTAACATGACATATTATTCAACATGCATGAACTAGGCATGAACATTATAACTGATTAAAGCTCCACTCCGGGACAAAAACTACCGTATTTGTTGCTCCATAAGACGCACCTAGGTTTTAGAGGAGGAAAACAAGAAAAAAAATATTCTGAACCAATGGACTGCAGACATAGTACAGGAGATGACCAGAGACTGCGGACATAGTACAGGAGATGACCAGAGACTGCGGACACAGTGCAGGAGATGACCAGAGACTGCGGACATAGCACAGGGGATGACCAGAGACTGCGGACATAGTACAGGAGATGACCAGAGACTGCGGACACAGTGCAGGAGATGACCAGAGAGACTGCAGACATGGTACAGGAGATGACCAGAGACTGCGGACATAGTACAGGAGATGACCGGAGACTGCGGACATAGTACAGGAGATGACCAGAGACTGCGGACACAGTACAGGAGATGACCAGAGACTGCGGACATGGTACAGGAGATGATCAGAGACTGTGGACATAGTACAGGAGATGACCAGAGACTGCGGACATAGTACAGGAGATGACCAGAGACTGCGGACATGGTACAGGAGATGATCAGAGACTGCGGACACGGTACAGGAGATGACCGGAGACTGCGGACATAGTACAGGAGATGACCGGAGACTGCAGACACAGTAGTACAGTACAGGAGACCAGAGACTGCAGACATTGTACAGGAGATGACCAGAGATGACCAGAGACTGCGGACACAGTACAGGAGATGACCAGAGACTGCAGACATAGTACAGGAGATGACCAGAGACTGTGGACATAGTACAGGAGATGACCAGAGACTGCAGACACAGTACAGGAGATGACCAGAGACTGCGGACACAGTACAGGAGATGACCAGAGACTGCGGACATAGTACAGGAGATGACCGGAGACTGCAGACATAGTACAGGAGATGACCAGAGACTGCGGACAGTACAGGAGATGACCAGAGACTGCGGACACGGTACAGGAGATGAACAGAGACTGCAGACATAGTACAGGAGATGACCTGAGATTGCGGACAGTACAGGAGATGACCAGAGACTGCTGACACAGTACAGAGATGACTGGAGACTGCGGACACAGTACAGGAGATGACCAGAGACTGCTGACACAGTACAGGAGATGACCAGAGACTGCGGACACAGTACAGGAGATGACCAGAGACTGCGGATGTACTAAAGGAGATGACCAGAGACTGCGGACACAGTACAGGAGATGACCAGAGACTGCGGACACAGTACAGGAGATGACCAGAGACTGCGGACACAGTACAGGAGATGACCAGAGACTGCTGACACAGTACAGGGGATGACCAGAGACTGCGGACACGGTACAGGAGATGACCAGAGACTGCGGACACAGTACAGGAGATGACCAGAGACTGCAGACATAGTACAGGAAATGACCAGAGACTGCGGACACAGTACAGAAGAAGACCAGAGACTTCAGACACAGTACAGGAGATGACCAGAGACTGCGGACATAGTACAGGAAATGACCAGAGACTGCGGACACAGTACAGAAGAAGACCAGAGACTTCACACACAGTACAGGAGATGACCAAAGACTGCGGATGTACTAAAGGAGTTGACCAGAGACTGAGGACATAGTACAGGAGATGACCACAGACTGCGGACACAGTACAGGAGATGACCAGAGACTGCGGACACAGTACAGGAGATGACCAGAGACTGCGGACACAGTACAGGAGATGACCAGAGACTGCAGACACAGTACAGGAGATGACCAGAGACTGCTGACACAGTACAGGAGATGACCAGAGACTGCGGACACAGTACAGGAGATGACCAGAGACTGCGGACACAGTACAGGGGATGACCAGAGACTGCGGACATAGTACAGGAGATGACCAGAGACTGCGGACACAGTACAGGAGATGACCAGAGACTGCGGACACAGTACAGGAGATGACCAGAGACTGCAGACACAGTACAGGAGATGACCAGAGACTGCGGACACAGTACAGGAGATGACCAGAGACTGCGGACATAGTACAGGAGATGACCAGAGACTGCGGATGTACTAAAGGAGATGACCAGAGACTGTGGACATAGTACAGGAGATGATCAGAAACTGCAGACCTTTGGGAGTGGGGGGGGGGGGTACCCGAATTTGACAGGTACCCGCTCCCACTTCTGCTGTCAGCCTTGTTTTCCTACCATTGTAAACCCCCCCTGTATGTGCTGCATTTCGGTTTCATAAAGCATATTAATACACTACAGAGGTTTTTATGCTTCCTTGCTTTTACTGCAAAGAACCTTAAAAGTCACAAAACATCCATCTCTGTGATTGCGCCCCTGGGACCACTGGTTCACTTCCACCCTTCTAGCTTGCAGACACTCACATCTATGCACATGCTGTGGCTAATGATGTGCTGTGCTGATCTGAGCTACAGCAAAAACTTAAACAGTACATGGCTTTCAGTGGGCGGTGCAGGGGCGTATTTATCACAAGGCAAACAAGGCCATTTGCCTAGGGCAGCTTTTTCAGGGGGCGGCAGTGGCATTTTTCAGGGGGGCAACGCTGCCTCCTCGAAAGAAGGGACGGAAGAAGAGACACACGCAGCATGGGGACCAGGTGGGATCTGAGTGAGGCTGCGGACTGCTTGATGGTGTATGGAGAGCCTGACTCTTGTTTCCCGGGGATGTCCAGAGCTGTAAAGGTGAGTGTTTCTCTCTCTCAATGGGGTCGGGGGTTTTTCCAGTGTATGGGGGGCTGTGGTATTAGAAAAGGCTCTCTCGGGTAGGGTGTGGGGGGGGGGTGTGTTGGCAATGTCAGGCTCCCCCTTCAATCATTATGGTCCAAGGGGATCCCAGGTTTGGTCACTGTCAGGGTCTCTCTCATTGGGGGGGGATCTATTTTTGTGTTGCCTAAATACCCCACTGGGGTGGTTCCCCCCCCAAACACAACTTCAGTAATTCTATGACTCTGCACCAGAAGCGTAGCAATTATAGGGTTAAATCAGTTGGTGAGGAGACAGGGGTGGACTGACAACTCATGGGGCCCCCGGGCAATAGGGGATCATGGGGCCCCTGTGTCCTTCCCCCAAACTCAAAAAAGCCTATGAAAAAGGTACCCATTACACAGGGGCATCCCATCATGGGGCCCCCTACTGACCCCGGGCCCTTGGGCAGTGCCCCAGTTTCCAAATGGTCACCCCTCCGCCCCCCAGGAGAGGACATATTGCCCCTCCTCACCACCTGTCAAATGCCCTATGAAAAAAGCAATTCACTCTTCAGAGGCAACACTTGTGTGAATGAGGTCTGTTTTGACCCCTTATATAATGTATGTAATTTTTAGGACCCCCCCACCATCAGAACCCTACAGTCAGTCCAAGATCAAGAAACTCCACCAGTGAAGACACTCATTCATGTCCTGACCACCCCCAAGATGACAAAGGGTCGCAATGTGTCACTTACTGCAAAACATCTCGAAAAATGTTCCATTGTTTTACAGTCTCTTTTCTCACTCTCCTTGACACTATTATTTCACAAAAGTCTAGCCAGCAAAAACACAGCATCTGCTAAAGTGACAGGTTGGTCTCAGATCCACCACCAGGCAACAGATCAGCTCAGTGAAAATGAAATATGACATTAATGTGACATTTGTGCCCCCCCAGCGGCTGATAAGTTTTACCTAGCTGTCGAAGTCCTCTCACCTGTCATGGACTATCTCTTAATGCTTCTACTGCACTGTAAGAGCCGCTTGTAAAAGGTAATCACGTAAGTAATTTCTTGGCGTCTTCCCCAACTTTGGCGAATAAAAGCTTTCAGTGCTATCAGTGAGAATATTTATCAAATTTCCAACAAATAACATGTAAATGAAAGCTTTCCTGGAGAAGGGAGCTCATTTATCTTTAATGGTGATTTTGTTTCAGCCATAAAATTTAGCGATCCTGCTTATCGATATTCCAGACAGCCCACTGACCCCTCTTACCCCCCCCCCCCCCCCCCCCCCCCCCCCCCCCCCCCCCCCCCCCCCCCCCCCCCCCCCCCCCCCCCCCCCCCCACCCCCCCCCCCCCCCCCCCCCCCCCCCCCCCCCCCCCCCCCCCCCCCCCCCCCCCAACCCCCCCCCCCCCCCACCCCCCCCCCCCCCCCCCCCCCCCCCCCCCCCCCCCCCCCCCCCCCCCCCCCCCCCCCCCCCCCCCCCCCCCCCCCAACCCCCCCCCCCCCCCCCCCCCCCCCCCCCCCCCCCCCCCCCCCCCCCCCCCCCCCCCCCCCCCCCCCCCCCCCCCCCCCCCCCCCCCCCCCCCCCCCCCCCCCCCCCCCCCCCCCCCCCCCCCCCCCCCCCCCCCCCCCCCCCCCCCCCCCCCCCCCCCCCCCCCAACCCCCCCCCCCCCCAACCCCCCCCAAACCCCCCCCCCACCCCCCCCCCCCCCCCCCCCCCACCCCCCCCCCCCCCCCCCCCCCACCCCCCCCCCCCCCCCCCCCCCCCCCCCCCCCCCCCCCCCCCCCCCCCCCCCCCCCCCCCCCCCCCCCCCCCCCAACCCCCCCCCCCCCCCCCCCCCCCCCCCCCCCCCCCCCCACCCCCCCCACCCCCCCCCCCCCCCCCCCCCCCCCCCCCCCCCCCCCCCCAACCCCCCCCCCAACCCACCCCCCCCCCCCCCCCACCCCCCCCCCCCCCCCCCCCCCCCCCCCCCCCCCCCCCCCCCCCCCCCCCCCCCCCCCCCCCCCCCCAAACCCCCCCCCCCCCCCCCCCCCCCCCCCCCCCCCCCCCCCCCCCCCCCCCCCCCCCCCCCCCCCCCCCCCCCCCCCCCCCCCCCCCCCCCCCCCCCCCCCCCCCCCCCCCCCCCCCCCCCCCCCCCCCCCCCCCCCCCCCCCCCCCCCCCCCCCCCCCCCCACCAACCCCCCCCCCCCCCCACCCCCCCCCCAAAACCCCCCCCCCCCCCCCCCCCAACACCCCCCCCCCACCCCCCCCCCCCCCCCCAACCCCCCCCCCCCCCCCCCCCCCCCCCCCCCCCCCACCCCCCCCCCCCCCCCCCCCCCCCCCCCCCCCCCCCCCCCCCCCCCCCAAAACCCCCCCCCCCCCCCCCCCCCCCCCCCCCCACCCCCCCCCCCCCCCCCCCCCCCCCCCCCCCCCCCCCCCACACCCCCCCCCCCCCCCCCCCCCCACACAACCCCCCCCACCAACCCCCCCCCCCCCCCCCCCCCCCCAACCCCCCCCCCCCCCCCCCCCCCCCCCCCCCCCCCCCCCCCCCCCCCCCCCCCCCCCCCCCCCCCAACCCCCCCCACCCCCCCCCCCCCCCCCCACCCCCCCCACCCCCCCCCCCCCAACCCCCCCCCCCCCCCCCCCCCCACCCCCCCCCCCCCCCCCCCCCCCCCCCCCCCCCCCCCCATCCCCCAACACCCCCCCCCCCCCCCCCCCCCCCCCCCCCCCCCCCCCCCCCCCCCCCACCCCCCCCAACAACCCCCCCCCCCCCCCCCCATCAACCAACCCCCCCCACCTCATCAACACCCCCCCCCCCCCCCCCAACACAAACCACCAACCATCATCCAACCCCACCCATCATCCCATCATCAACAACACCCCACCCATCCCCATTATCAACCAACCCAACACCCCACATCCCATCACCAACCCACACCCCCCCCCATCCCTGCAGATGAGTGCCGTCGATCTTTGAATCACCGCACACTTCACTCATTTGGGCAGTCACGGGGCCAAAAGCAGAGTGTGGAGCCCACAGTGTGGCGGTGGAGGCAGCAGCAATGGGGAGGCCATACAGCACCCTATGACAAAATGGAACCCACCAGCAGTGTGAGGAGACCTGAAAGTGGCACATGGCAGAGTGTGGGCGATGGAGACAGCAGCAATGGGAGGCCGTACAGGGGACCCATGACACACTCTGGACCTGGCAGCAGCATGAGGAGGCGGTACAGGGGGCCCATGACAGATTACGGGCCTGGCAGCAGCAGTGGGCGGGCGGTGGGTGGATGCAGCAGTATTCGGAAGCCAAACACAGGCCTCGGTTAAAAAGCGGGAAGCCGTCAGCAGCGTGAGCAGACGACAGAGGCACATGGCAGGGTGGCGGTGGAGGCAGCAGCAATGGAAGGCCATACAGCACCCTATCACAAAATGGAACCCACCAACAGTGTAAGGAGACCTGAAAGTGGCACATGGCAGAGTCTGGCGATGAAGTCAGCAGCAATGGGAGGCCGTACAGGGACCCATGACACACTCTGGACCTGGCAGCAGCAAGAGGAGGCGGTACAGAGGGCCCATGGCAGAGTGGCGAAGCGTAAGCAGCTTAAATTGAAGGCCATACAGAGGCCTATGTTAAAAATAATAACATGTTTGGGGCATGATTCATGGCGGATTTAGTCAGTTGTGTCAGGAACTGGTGGTTTGAAATCCAGACTAATCCACGCCTGATTCATTTTCACAAACGTGAGTCTCTCCACACTTTGGGTGGACAGTCGTGTCCTCCGCGGAGTTACAATACCTCCTGCCGCACTAAACACGCGCTCCGATGCCACGCTACTGGCCGGGCATGACAGCCTTTCAAGGGCAAATTCAGCTAGTTGGGGCCAAAGGTCAAGTTTCGTTGCCCAGCAGTCAAGGGGATTGTCTACCTCGGTTGGCAGGGTGCTGTCCAAGTAGGCCCGAGCCTGTTGTTTGAGGTCCTGCTCCAGGTCCACCTGATGCTGCTGCTGCTGCGGCTGGTTAGTAGTTTCCTCACTGCGCTGGTGAAGAAAGCTACTCATCATCGACTGCAGACTGAGGCAGCCGCTGCTGGTGGAGCTGCCACTGCTCCTACCACCCCACCCCTCCCCTGCTGCCATGGCAGCGGAACGCGAGCGCACAGGGCCCACAGTGTCTGAGGATGGACGTTGGCGCAGAAAGGCAGAGACCAACTGACTACATAGGTGGTTTTTATAGTACTTTATTTTGGCCTCCCTCTCAGCAGGTGTGAAAAAGGCCACCATTTTTGAACGGTAGCGAGGGTCCAACAAGGTGGACAGCCAAAAGTCATCCCTCTGTCTGATGG